TGTAGAATTTTGGCAAAATGTTTCTGCTAATAAAAATAAAACCTGTTTAAAAAAAGTGTTTTAGAAGTGCAATTCTCAAATATAATGGGATAATCCCTAACACTCCTTACCGTTAGTGATGGGCCCAACACCCCCCTGTTCGGTTCGAATTCGAACTCAATGCAAGTCTATGGGGCTAGACTTTTGAAAATGAATTGTCCTCATTCTGAAGCCTAATATGCAATTTATTGCCCATAAAAAAAGTGTATGGGGATTAGGGTACTGCCCTGGGGGACAGGAATCAATGAAAAAATGTTAACATCACTTAAAGTGAAACAATAAAAATGAAAACGTCCTTTAAATATCGTGCCTGGGGGGGTCCCCTTCACCTGCCTGTAAAGTGGCGGATCTGTACAATGTATAGAACCCGAATTCAATGTATAGAACCTGAATATAGAATTTCTAAAGAAGAAAATGACATTTAAAAAGAAAAAAAAAAAACGTGGGGTTCCCCCCAAAAGTCATACCAGACCCTTAAGGTCTGGTAGGAATTTTAAGGAGGAACCCCACCCCCAAAAATGGGGGGGGGGAAAGACCCTTAAGGGTCCCCCCTAAAATTCCATACCAGACCCTTGATCCGAGCACAGGCCTGGCAGGGCAGGAAAGGGGGGGGCAAACTAGCACCCCCCTCCCTCCCATACCAAGCCACATGCCCTCTGCACTGGGAGGATGCTTTTCAAGGGTCGCCCCTGGAAAAGCACCTTGTCCCCGTGCTGATGGGGACAAGGGCCTCTTCCCCACAAGCCCTGGAGCATTGCATTGGTTGTGGGGGTGCAGGCAGAGGGGCTTATTCTCATGAGTGTACCCCTTTAATAAAGGGGCACCCAAATGCACCCCCCCTTGTGAATGAGTAAGGGGTACCCCCCTACCCATTCACTAAATGGTTAAATAAAGTTGCAAAAAATGTGAAAAAAATCCTTTATTTGGAAAATAACAAAAGTTTTTGACAAGTCTTTTTTTTTTAACCTCTTGCCGTCCGCCCGTAGTAAAAAAACGGACGGACGGCACTGCAGCATCTGCGGGTTGCCGTCTCCAGACGGCAATTTTTTTCTGCTCGCGCGCACCCCCCACACCCCCCCAAAAAAACCAAACACAATGGATCCGCCAACCTAATCCAGGGTCAATCACGACGTCCAGCGTTGACCATGACTGCGACGACTCGATGAACTTAAAAATAAATAGAAATAAAAAAAAAATAATTAAAACGACGACCGCCGCAGAATGGCATTTTGACAGATACCGTCAACATATAAACAACTGGGCGGAGCTAGCGGTGACAGCTAGCTCCGCCCCAAATGTTTACAGTTGTACGGCATCTGAGAGGTGAGCCATGATTGGGCAAAGTCATCATTACTTTGCCCAATCATTGCATTACTTACAGAGTACTGGGCCCTCATTGGGCAAAGTCTTGCACCTGACATGGTCACCTCATGACGAGGGAGCTATCAGGAAGCCGGGCGCCATGTCATTACACGTCGCCCAGTTTCCTGATTGGCCGGAAAGTTGGCTTCATGGTTTCTCATCACCTAGTGGGGACGGCTTGCCTGCTAGTCGGGAAGCCGGGTGGCGAGTCATCACACGCCGCCTGGCTTCCTTAATGGGACTTCCGGTATCGGTATCGGCAAGTACCGGGTAAAAAATGTCAGTACTCGTACTCGATACTGAAATACCGGTATCGGTGCATCCCTAATTCTGGGTAGCCTCTGTGATACAAGAAATTCATCTTGGTGGGCAATATTTGAAGGAAACCTTTCTTGAGAGAAATGGATCGAAGCTACCATACAGAAAGATGCTGGTTGCCTGGATGCCAAACATAACCTCTGACTTCAATACTTTGAATTACTGGCCCACAACATAGACTTCTGACTTTCCTGATCTGCCTACTTGTTCCAGGTCTGTGACTCAGTACAACAGCCAGGCTACTAGGATCTTCTTCAGGTCGGGGAAGGTTTTGTGTAAGCCCAGGGGTAGGAGACCTTGGCACGCCAGCTGTTGAGGATGTCCCATGTGGGATTGTGAGACTCTGACAACCACAGGCATGACTCCCAGGGGCATTATGGGATTTGTAACTCCACCACAGCTGAAGGGCCGAGGTTACCTACCCTTGCTCTAGTCAGTTTGCTCAAAGCTGGTGACACTGGGCCTTGTATGTTGTATTCCACCTGCATCTCATTGCAGAGAACTCTGAACCGATCACGTCAGTCCTGGTCCACAAAACGTCTATGTAGCGCTCACCCCCGAAGGAGCCACTGAGTATGATATAGGTTCTCCTACCTGTTGGTTCCAGCTACCAGTCCCTTTTGATCAGCAACAGCACACCAACACTCATGGACAGAATGGCTCAAGTCTTAGGGTCTTTTTAGGGTATTTATTTGTAAGCTCAACATGAGAGAGAGGGTTCAGGATCTGCAGGATGCCCTTGGAATTTGCTTCAGAGGACAGCTTTTTCCCCTAGCAACCGCTAAGGCCGATAGCACTGTGATCTGGTCCCAGCGACCAATAGTAGTAGTAATACTGCGAACAGCCAGGATGATCCAGTAGCTTA